GGGGGTGGCACCGCAAAGGTTACCAACTCACCGGTTCAGTTCTGCCCTGTTGCGCTCCGATGCCTTTCTGTCCTTGCGTGTAAGCTTCGAGGCAATCTTGTCGCCGTCTCTCTCCTTCTTGTGCTCAATCTTTGCGGGCTCGACGCGGATGGTGCCGTTGGAGTAGTCGCCTGGGCGGAGGACGTAGTCATCCATCATGTTGACGGCATTGGTAATGGCTTCTTTGCGGAAGTAGACGACCATGGCGTTGCCCGTGAACTTGCCCGTCTCGTCGTCCATGTACATTTTGATACGTGGCTGGCCATCGGCGCCCTTGTCAATGATGCCGAACCGCGAGAACTCGTCCTCAATCTCTTTGGCAGTCGTGTCTGGGGGCAGATTGGAGATCCAAATGGCCTTGTTCTCAACCACCTTGGGCTTCTTGTTGGCCTCGGGCTCCTTGCCGTTCTTGCGCTTTTTGCTGTTTTGGCCAGCCTGCGCATCCGCGGCACCATCATCAACCGGCGGCGTGCCCGTGTCTGCTCTTTCGGCAGCTTGCGCCGTGACGTCGCCTCGCTCGCTCATCTTTTGCAACGGGTATGGGTGCAGTCAGGCGGTTGGCTGGCGGCGCGGATCAGCGCGGTCTCTTCCCAGACCAGATGCAAGCTCCAGCTTCACGATGTCGAGGGCGGCAGAAAAGTCGGGCGGTGAGGTGTGGGGCCGCCGAGAGGGAAATCGGAGTTTCTTGCGACAAAGAGCCTCGGTGCGTGGTGGGCTGTCATCCAGAGGCACCATGTTTGGTTAGTGTTTCTGAAGGGCACGCCATGCTGCTCCAGAGGGTGCGGATGAGCGGGCCTGTGTACGTACTCGGATGCACTGCCTACAAATACACGTACACAGCCGTTGGGGGTTCTTGTCGATGGTCGATGGATACAAGATGTTGGCTGCACGCAGGTACATAGACACGTCCTAACCACGGGCTGCAGAATGACGCTGATTGCGGGTGAGGATCGATAGAGCCGGCAGATGGTCATGCACACGCCCAAAGCACTCCAGGCCAAGACGTGGCCTAGCGTGCAGCGCAAGCTTTCCGCCATGTTCGATCGCCAGCCCCGCATGTGACGACCTGGCGATCTAGCCATCTGCGCGTAGTGCGGACTTTCGGAGCATCAAGTGTTCGACACACGATACCTCAGACGCAACAGGAAGAAACCCTGGCCATCGCTAAGCCCTCTCCACCTGAATCGCACGCAGTATATATACACGGAATATGTAGCCCTGCCCGTCTGGTAAATCCCTCTTTTTTTGCTTTTCCATCTCTTCTTTTGTTGTTGGCGTCACACGACAAAATACTGATACCATGTCTCTAGTCGATACTGTACTCCGACCCAACATGCGGGATCCTCTCCCCCCGCCTTCGCTGCTTGTTCAAGCAAGCAAGCCCTTCGCTGACAAACTGAGCCTGACGACTCTCCCTTACCACGTCCACGAGATTCTCCTTGGCTTCCTCGGATACCACTTCATCCTCTATGTCCTTTCGCCGGCCGTCTCGCGACTAGTATGCCCAAAAGCCTACCATGGCTTCAACAAGCGCACGCGACTCAACTGGGACATCCACTGGGTCTCCATGATCCAGTCTCTCTTCATATGCGGCGCTGCGCTGTGGGTCATTTTCAAGGATGAGGAACGACACGCCATGGACTGGAGGGGCAGGCTCTGGGGCTACACACCAGCAAGCGGCATGGTCCAAGGCTTTGCAGCCGGCTACTTCCTCTGGGACCTCCAAATATCCACACAATACATCAGTATTGCCGGCGTCAGTGCGCTCATCCACGCCATCGGCGCTTTGGCCGTAACTTGCATCGGTTTCGTAAGTCGCGGCACACCCACCTGCCCTCTTGGGCCGTGTGTCGCAAACCCTCAAGCTGACTCGTGCAACCAGAAACCCTTTGGAAACTACTACGGTCTCTCTTTTGTCCTCTACGAACTCTCCACCCCGTTCCTTAATATACACTGGTTTTGCGACAAGCTCGGAATGACGGGTTCCAAGCTCCAGCTCTACAATGGCATCGCTCTGCTTGTGACCTTTTTCGGCTGTCGCATCGTCTGGGGAACTTACCAGTCCATTATGATTTACTCGGATATCTACAAGGCTTTGACCATCTCGCAGACCGATGGTATGAGTTCACTCCTGGAGGCGCAGAAATGCGATGGAAGCACCAATAGCAGTATGGGCCTTGATGGATCTGGAAACTGCTACGGTGACCTCCCCATGTGGCTGGTTTGCGTCTATCTTGTTGGTAACACGGCGTTGAGCATGCTCAACTTCTTCTGGTTCAACCAGATGATCAAGGCTGTTCGCAAGAGGTTTGTGCCTGCGGATGAAAAGGCGCAGGCCAAGAAGAGCCAGTAAATGTTGAGATTAGGGAAAGAAATTGGTTGAGTAGAAGTTTTGATTTTTTTTTCTATTTTCGTCAAGGGCGTTGCTTTGAAACTGCTGGAGCAGTTGGATCTTTCATGGAAGGATGATGATGATGATACCCATCTCTGTAACGAATGGAATATGGATAACGACAGGTCTCAGCATACACATGGGAGAGAATAATTACATACAGATTGCGATGAAACGAATATCATATCAAAATTACAAATCACGTATAGCTCCCCTAGTCTTTAACATTGCTCCTCTCACGCCTTCTTTACTTTTATCTGCACAATCTCCATATTAAGTCCCGCCCGCTATAACTTTGACCCACCTCCAGTACCCATCTTCTCCAGCTCCGCCCTCAGCACTTTCCTCATCTCCCCCGCCAACTTGGATCCTTCTTCATCATCTAGGTCGTCGCGTTGGCCCCGCCCAAACATGGTCCAGCTTTTGCTCTTGATCTCAGGCATGCTTTCCGGCCGTGGTATGATGTGGAAGTGGACATGTGGTACTACTTGTGCTGCTCTTGCGCCTGGTGTGGTGTTCAGCATAGCATATTAGTGTGGTGGTAGGTATAAACTCACCGTTATTCTGAACAATGTTGTAATCCGTTACACCTGTGACTTTTGCTACTGTCCGTGCTAGAATGGGTAACCAGAAGCCTGTAGTTTGTTAATTTTCCTTCTCCTTTCATCCTTCATATAGACGAATTAAATATAAGAAATAATAATAATAAACGATACTTACCAATCTCCCTACTCTCTACAACCTCCATATCCGCAACCTTGACTTTATGCTGGCGAGTCGTAACAAGTAAATGTCCTATATCACTCAGATATCAGTACCCATTCCCATCCATGTATCTTTCTCCTCTCTCTCTCTCTCTCTCTCTCATCCCACCAAACCCCCCATCTCTCGTACATGCACGCCCTGCATATGCATCTCCTTCCCCACTCGTTCCCCCCAAACCAAAAGAAACAAAAGCTACATCGAAAAAAAAGAATGAACAAGAAACTCACCCCTCGTCATCGGCAGAATATCCAAAAAAGCAACAACATCCTTACTCCTCAGCACCACAAAACTACTCGGATCCGTCTTATCGGCCTGACTCTCCTCCTCACTCGGTACACACGCTGCTAGCTCTTTCTGCTGTTTCTCGGGTGCACTGCGCCATAGCGACGCACCAGCCTGTGCGTTACTATCGGAAGCGGGATACGCGGCGGCGATGCTGCAAAAGGGACAGGATTCTGGCGGATAGTGGAGATCGGTTTCTTGCATGGCTGTTGCTTGCTATTACCGGGGTTGCGGGCTGTTTGTGTGGCGTTTGCTTGTTTATTTTGTGGAACAAGCCGGGGGAAAAATGGGGTAGCCAGATGGGAAAGGTGTGTGTGTGGGGTGAGTGAAGGGCTTGTTACACACAGGTTGCGTGTTGGATGTATTTGTTTGTTGATGATAATGATGATGATGATGTTCCACAAGGTCGTACGTTTTGGTCGTCAAGGATCCCAGATGGAGGGTAAGTAGTAGTTCGTGATTCACGCCAACCCCCAACGCCTGTCAGCGAACCTAAACCGGTAGTAATACGATTGCAAATTCTCTAACCCAAAAAGATCAGAACAGATCTAGAAAATCTCGAGATCGAACAAGTTCCTGTCTCTGACTTTCCGTGATTAAGAGAGTCGGTAAAAAACAAAAACAAAAAACAAAAAGAACAAAAAAGCGAGGACAAGGTTCAAAAGCTACGATCGCAAGACACCGCAAGCTCGAGCCCTCGATTACTACCAGTTCAAAGCGGTCTAGCTCCCCCACGTCTCACTGCTTAGACCTCGGTGCAACGATCGCGCGCTCACAACAGGCATCTGGGCCCGGGGAGCGAACTTTTGTGGCTGAGGGGGGGGGGGCTGGGAGAGGGAAAAACAAGCCAAGGGTTACCAACCATGTCATCCATTTGCATCTGCATCCATTCCCCGGGGGGGAAACGGGCTAGACGGACACCAACGATGATGACATTTGCTTTGGTTGGCTGGTCGAGGAGATTCAGCTAGAGAGCTAGGCGCAGTCCCGCGTTTCTGGTTTAATGCATAATTGCATGGGACTAATTGGCCAAGGAAGGGCGACGTGATGCGGCGACGCGGTGTAGACACGCATGACGTGCCACTATCGTGTTGCTTTCGAGGCAAGGGCGTACGCGACGCGATACCGTGGAGCTATGGCGTTTCGGTCGCGAAAATGCAACAGGGCGGACATGGCTGGGGATTTTTGGGGGGTGTATTGGGTACACATGACGTGATTCCAAAAGAGGCACAACAAACATTTGTCACACCAAAAGTCTTGCAAAGACGACCAGATTATTCAACATGCTTTGCTCCATTCTACTACACTCCCCAAACAGTGCGCAATTCACATACACACACTACTCATACACGTGCGGAGAACGAATATCTCCATATCTGATGTGCCAAATGACCATGTTTTTCCCACGCACCACACACCACAGACAGACACACTCCATACAGGTCCACAAAGGAATAAAAACCTCTCTCATATCATACCGTTCCTGGTACATTGGACCGCCTAAGCCATGAGCGAGTATCCAGAGCCGCTATAAGAAATGAGGTAAAGTGCGATCTGAAAAGGTGGAAAAAAACAAACACACCCCTCGTTGCGCCTCCATTGACAGGAGAGGAACGCCGATAACTCCGTTTCCAAGCAAACTAAAAAACCACTTAGGGAGGAAAGATGAACCAACAATGAAGTGAACAACCAACTTGCATCCCATGTATTAAACGCCGACCGGAAGATGGTATTAGCCAAGATGCAAACATGAATAGCCTGGTTTGGATGCAATCGTAAATTTTGGCTCCCGGTCGGGACCTGAACTTCGTCAATCACTACTCGTTCCCATGCCGGCGGTAATGAATAGCTTTGCGACACATAAGCCAATGACCGGTATTGCCTAACAAGAACCCACACGCTTAGCGCACGCTCTTGGTCTTGGAGGGGACAGCGGCCTCTTCTTGGAGTGCGTTACCATAGGCAGCAACGTATTCCTTGGCCCACTTGCGAAGGACAATGGATGCTGTGTCGTGTTAGTCTCAGGCGCGTCCAGAGGGGATAGTGGGTAACCCTTACCTTTCAAGAACTTTTTGCTGGCATACTTCTTAAAGAAGGCCTCGTGTACAACAGGGCCAGAGAGGTAGTCGATCATCAGCTCAAGAACAGGCTGGATCTCTTGCTCAGTGTAACCGGCGTAGTGTGTTAGGGTAGCGTCCTATTCAAGTTAGATATAAACAACGTATATGGGGCATGACTGTAACATACCCAAGGGCCACGCTCAAGAACAAGGCGAGCGAGGTACATGGCAGCGGCAGCAACCTGGCTAGGAGGGTGGGCGAGGAAGCGGTGATCCAGGCAGCCAATCTCCAAGAGATACTTGCCCAATGTGCGAGTCTGGATGTCGTAGTTGTCGGCCTTTGATATCCGGCGGAGGAAGTTCATGGGGTTGGGGTAGCTCAGATCGTAGTTCAAGGCAGCAAGGACAAAGCGTTCGGCGCTAAGAATCTCCTCCTCAGTGAAGCCATCGTCGGCAACATGGCGGAAGTTCTGTACGTGGGGAGAGAGGACCTCCTCGTACTTAGAGGCGATGAACATGGCCGTGACGCCAACCAACTGGAGGCGGTCCAGCTGGACAATCTTGGTGGAAAGGAAACGGTCAATGATGTTGACAGCAAGGAAGAGAGTCTCGGGAAGGAGGCGGAAGCGGGTGTGGACCTCGAGTAACCAGTCGACAAGAATACCGCGCATCTTCCACTCGAGTTCTGTTTGGCTCTCCATGTAGTCGGGGTTGGCCATGGTGGCAATCTCAAGCTCCTTCAAGTACTCGAAGATCTCGACAACATACTCGGAGACCATGAGCGGGTCATCAACGTCCTCCTTGTCTAGATCCGGGCCGTCGTAGAAGACCTCGGTGACAGGTGCCTCGACCTCCTTCTTTGAGCCCTTGGTCTGCTTGACATTGTCCTCTTCAACCACCTTCTTCTCTTGCGGCTCAACGTTCTCCTCCTCTTCCTCCTCTGGCTGCTCTTCCTTCTCTTCTTCCTGCTCCTTCTCCTCTTCCTCCTTGACGTCTTCCTTTACATCCACCTTTGGCTCCGCCTTGACTTGCTTTGCGGCGGCAGCGCCGCGCTTCTTTGCTGGCTGACCTGTGATACCGTTGCCACTAGCTGGGCGCCTCTTGAGGTCGGATGTGGAGATCTTTTCCTTTTGCTGGAGAATGGAACGCGTCGAAGCAGCCCGTGATGACTTCTCGACCTTGGTTGGCTGTGCTGCTTTTGAGAGTTGGCCCTTGGTAGCCAGTGGCTTCTTTCCGTCCTTTGCACCAGCACCCAGGGCATCCTGCTTTGCGACATTGCTGACGTCACCAAGAGCCGCACGCTTTCGCGTCGCGGCACCGTTTGCGCCGAGAGTAGCAGTGGACTTCTTTGTCTGAAGGGCCTTCTTGGGCACATCTGCTGCCGACTCGTTGGCGCCCAAGTTGGCGGCCTTTGCACGCGTCAAGCGTGTCGTAGTGGCGTTTTCATCGTTCTCATTCGTGATGGCGCGTTGCCTCGTAGATCGAACCTGTTGGAGCGTGTTAATGACCTGTATGGGAGGTATACACGTTCCCGCCGCGTCGTGGGTCTCGGGGACGGGATGCAGCAAAAAGGCAATGACGTACTGCTGGAGGCATGGCAAGCAATATTAGGTATGCTGAACAAAGCTAAAGAGGTATCCAGGTGTTCGAGTAGATGTGCAGTTTGTAATGGCTGATGTTTGATGTGTTGTGATGCACTGTTTGGTGATGTTAGCAGAGTTCGATGGAGCTTGAGCAAGGCGCGTCGGAGGTGGCAGGCCGACAGCAGCGGAGCATCGACGGGCGCGCAGGGTGTGCACGAAGCTGGGCGAGCGAACCACGGTCGATGCTCACGAATGCTGGAGGGCCAGACACGCTCGACAGGGTGCGGCAGCGAGGATGAGGGCGACGTGACGAGCCAGCAGGAGAGACCAACCCTTGGAGAGCTTGACGGGTTAATTGAGTGGACGGGGTAGAGGTCCAGCTACGGCGTGCACAAGAAGGAAAGTGGAGGTTGGGCGAGGGAGGAGGTGCACCAAGGTGTGTTGTGTGTGGGAGTGAGAGGGTATGTTGTGTGTTTTGAGCGAGGGCCGGCTAGCTTGGCTTTCCACGTCCCACGCGCCAAAATGGCCGTCGAGGCTGGCAAAGGCAACAGTGCACGCCCCACAGGCGCGTGTGCAAACTTACGCTGAATAAGAGGCCGTGACGCAACGCGTTTCTGTAGCGGCGATGGGCGGCTGGCGAGAGGGCTGATGGCGAGGCGCAGAGGTGCGCTGGGTGTCGCGTAGTCAGTATGGTACAGTGCAGTGCAGTGCAGTAAGGGTGAGCGACACTGACGGGCGGGTGCGTGTTGTGATGGGTGACAGAGCAGACGCTGGTTGTTGCTGGGCCATCGCGCCGGCCAGGGCAGGCCAGGGCAGGCAGGCACTCCCCCGCCCGTCCTGCGCTACGCCCAATCCGGCCACTTGGAGAATTATTCGTGACACCGCCAGCACCAGCCCTCAAAGCAGCTGTGCCATTGCATCCCCGCCACGCATCCACCGCCCCCGGGCTCCCGACGACACAATGCTGCAGCCCCGGATATGTAGTCGCCTTCAGTCTGTGCAGCTGTGCGCCGCTCTGCGCTCTGCCCGTACCTACGCACAGGTCCATGCCGCCAGTGTAAAGCAGCCACCATCACCACCACCATCGTCGTCCATACAGCCTGCCGTGGCTGTCGATGCTGCGACACTCAAACAAGAAGGCTCGCGGAGAGACCGATTCATCCCTCTGCGCACATACAAGCCCCGCACACCCGGATTGCGCCATCTCAAGCGCCCTGTCAATGACCACCTGTGGAAGGGACGACCATACCTCAAGCTCACCATTGCCCGAAAGGGACAGCACCTAGGAGGAAGGAACAACACCGGCCGGGTCACAGTGAGACATCGAGGTGGTGGTCACAAGAGGCGCATACGAATTGTCGACTACAAGCGCTACCTGCCTGGCAAGCATATCGTCGAGCGCATAGAATATGACCCCAACCGGAGCGCACATCTTGCCCTCCTCACACGCCTGGCAACTGGAGAAAAATCTTACATTATTGCTGCCGATGGAATGCGTGCTGGAGACGAGGTCGAGAGCTACCGCAGCGGCATCCCCAGAGAGCTGATTGCCAGCATGGGTGGTGGCATCGATCCTGGTATGCTGGCTGCTAAGACAGCGGCCCGAGGCAACTGCCTTCCTATCCACATGGTGCCGCTCGGCTCCCAAGTCTACAACGTTGGCTCTAAGTCTCAGGGTGGGGGCGTCTTCTGCAGGAGTGCAGGCACATATGCTATTATCGTCAACAAGGAGGAAGTAGAAAAGGGCAGCAGCACAGAGATTAAGCACGTCATCATCCGGCTACAAAGTGGAGAAATCCGCAAGGTCA